CACCCATGGTTAGGGAACCCTCACCCTGTAAGTCGGCCTTCCCGCGGGTCTACGTCCTTGGGCTTTTTGTACGTTTCTTTTGTTTGGAATGGGGTCAGGCTGTTCTCCATTGGCGGTCGAATATGGTACCAGTAATTGGATCTCTCTCTTCTCTGCTTGTGGTTTGCGTCATTCACAGATCACAGCTTTGGGCTGGTTTGAAGCTTAAGCAGTTGATAGTAGGAGTGAGTTCATTTATGATAGGGGTTGAATCTAGTTGACGGTTCATCGATTTCGGTACTCAAGTATTTTGGGGTTGGTTGGTGGGGAAATGTTACAGTCAGGACTTTCTTGGTCCCCTTCTTTCCAGGGCGTGGAGAATTGTACTGTACGTACCGGTACAAGTACAGTACCGGTACAGAGATTTATTCGATCGTGGTAGGCGTTTTTTAAATTTTTATTTATTCATTTTTGTGTGTGATTAAATGTGCAGTTGATGATAGCTTAGGGGTATGGTGCTCGAAGTGTGCGGTGGAAAACTTGCTCGAAGTAGCTCATCTCTTTCCTTTTTTTTTTTTCTTCGCGAGTCTCCAATTACAGAAGGTGCCGGTATGGCTAATGGTAGGTTCATTCTAAGAGCACCAACTATCACCGCAAAAGCCCAAAAACTGGCTGCCAACCAACAAACCAACAAACCCACAAATAGCAGTGGAATCCGAAACGCTCCCGAACAGGATACAATTTTGGGGCCACATTCCGAAACATTTCACATTGTCTAATTTTTGACGCAACCAAGTGGGCTGCAGTCAGTTACCGGTGGGTTAAAAAAGTTGTCTAGAATGCTAATTCTCGGAAGCCAATCAGAAGCGTTGGTGCACCAGTTTGCCAAGATATTTGGAGTCATTGAGGCGCTTGAGCTTGCCACGAGATGTTGCTGGATGGATGCGCGTGACGATTCAGAGTAACTTTGATTTGTGGTGCCCTTTGAGGTTAAAAGCCCGGTGGTTCCCCCCCCCGCCCTCATTCTGCTATAAGTATGGATGAGAATGTGCGCTGGTATCTCTTTCCATTGACGGGTTGAAAAGGGCTGACGCATATTTCATTATCAAATCATATCATACCGGTATTCGCCTTTTCACGAACGAAGGAGCGGACGGAGAACGGAGGTTCCGGGCAATATTAGTATTGGGTGGATATAAAAGGGCTGCATTGGACAGTACCCCACGCGAGTCCTTTGCTTGACCTGATGAACAGAGCGAGCGAAGGAAATAAACTTTCTGCTATCATACCTTTTCACATCCCGAGATCAATTCTATAGTCCACAGGGGTGAGACATTCCAGAGGAAACGAGGAATCGAAGGGGTATAATCCGAGCTTTGCTTTCGCCTCCACCCGCCTATGCTGCCGTACTGGGCTACAATATTTCATACTACCTAAGTGCCTCGCACTCCCACACATCATCCATCGTCCAAGCATCACTCACTTCAACTCATCCTTATTGCACCGCAACTCGCTTTCTCTCCCACTCTGGCCTTACCTTACCTACCCACCAATCAGCAAACGAACGACAATGTCGCCTATAATCTCCAACTACCTCCGCAAAAACCTCCTCTTAACCCTTCTATTACTCGTATTCCTGGCGCTCCTGACGTCTTCCGAAGTTCTTGCGTCTTCCTCCTCCTCCTCCTCATCGTCATCACAAGGAGAGAGACTGGAGAAGAGAATGAGTTAGTCCCCCCCTCCGGGCTACTGCCATGAGTGCTAATTTTGCCGTAAACAGCCTCCTCCGCAGCGTCAATTCGCTTCCCACAAGTACTCAATGAACCCCGAGAGCGCGGTCTTACACCTGGCTTCGTAGCCGTGGTGGTCGGTGGACTAAGTGTGGTTTTTGCGGGGTTGATGGTTTAGACGCTGCTATCCTGCCCTCCTGCCCTGCCCATCAATGCCAGTGCTGTGGGCGGGCAACGCACACATGCCGGAACTAATTTCGGTTTTCCCCCTGCCCCTCCTCTCACTCACTTGAGTTATCTTTCCTTGTTCAAACTTTGGGAAATGGTGTTTTTTTTTCTTTTTCTTGTGACATTCTGTATGATTTGGTTGTTGGGTGGTGGAATGATTGATTCAGGGGAAGGGGGGAAGGAAGGCGTTGGATGGCTTGTCATGATTATGATTATGGGTTTGATAATGATTTTGGTGTTAGAATTGGGGTGTTGAGTGCGCTGACTAGGGAGGAGTAAGGAGAGGAGAGAGGGAGGAATCTGGAGTATCTGGAGTGAATGGAGGGGAAAATTAGAAGGGGCGGGCTCCATCGGCGACATCACCGACAGCACAGGGCCGGATGATTTCTCACCACCAAGTTCACTCGGACTCGACCCTCAGGGTGACCAACTCCCTCACTCTAGACAATTGCTTCCAGCGTTGTACAATACGGCAGATATGTCTATACATCGCATCCCGTAGCATATCTAGACCGAAAAACAAACCACAACCACCCATACAGGGCTCTATAAGCCCACCGACTGTAACAGTCTCTACCGGTGGACGAGTAGCTGTAGTATGCACACACATACCTCCAAACTAGCATGTCAATTAAGGTTTGCTGTCATGACATTTACTCTATTATACCGTATATTGAGACTAGTTGTGTTGACACCCACAATTAGTCTGTCCCTATCCTGTACTCGTACTTATTTGTGGATCCCTTAGACCATATCAATCACGAGAGGAGGAACACCCCCAACACTTCGCTAGAGTAGACTTCTACAATACGCCAGAGTGCGTAGGAGATCCTGGCACCCCTCCCCCCCTCATTTTGCACCAAAGGTATCCTACTTTACTGGTATGCCTGTGTACTCGGGTATCAGGCAGGCACTCTTGATACAAATAAAAATATATCGATGATCAAACCAGGGCAGGAAAGCCAGAGGGATTTATTATATCTTCGGACAGTCATTTCTCATTAAAAACAAATTGTCAAGAATGGTTGAGGGATACTTCCAATTTTGTGCGCACTACCGACAGTACCAGAATAGTAGAGCCCCATACAAAAGTTGCATTCACAATTTCGGCTATGGTACAGTACTTGCAAATTTACGATACCAGTACACCTGCAACAACTTCCGACCAATGCAACTTGGGGTTGCGGGAGGAGGTGCTATCCAATTTAGTTTCACGAAAAGCTACTGCTATCGGTAAGTATTATCCCCATCGCTTACCCTAATAAACGTGTTCATTAAGTCGGTGAAGTGGGGCACTTTTGGCACAAGATGGGGGGGAGCGCCAAGATCTCCCACCCACTTGTAGCGATATCATATCCTTCATGGTGGCACACTGGTAATACGGTAATCCACGGCCACGCCCTAGGTTACCACCTACAGTAAAGTACACCGATGGAGAACAGAACAAATCCCACGTTGCAGTAGGGGTACCACGCCCGAATACGGTGCCGACACGACATGCCTTTGACAGCCATCATATCGGTGTTCCAGGTAGGGCGCGAGCACTCGAGCCGTAAAAGAGGCTCGCATCATGTTCCTGGAGAGTTCACCGGGACGGGGTCCATAACTGTGCCGCTGAAAGAAAGGCCGGGGGAAAGTTTTTGGAGCCAAAGAGGGGTGTCTAATAATGCGATGCTGCCAGGTGGTATTATACCGGTAGTAGAAGGATAAAGCCGACCAGGGCCCGCATTTTGGGGAGGGGGGTTCTTCGCCATCCTGCACACCTATCCATCAGTCATTGGTCTTGTGAGCCTTTTTACCATAAGATTTCTCCGTCTGCCTGCCTGTCTACGTTCGCTCGGTTCGGAATGAAGTTCTCAATTGCTTCTTCAGCATTCCTCCTTTTTCCACTAGTCGTCGCCGTCGACGCCGTTTCCGTCCCTATATTACCACGGGGAGGCAAGGGTGAGGGGGAAGTGAAGAGAGGTTATGAATATGGCAGTGGGCATGGTGGTAACGGTGATGGTGGAGGAACAAGCCCGATGACTTCCGACCCGAAAAGTTTGACCGATACCTCAGCAGCTCTTATAGAACTCCACAAGAACCTCTGCGAGATCCCGTCCGTCGCGCCAAATGAACTCGAGGTCGGGGATTGGTTGGCGACGTACCTAGAGTCGAAATCCTTCACTGTAGAAAAACAGGAGGTCGCAAGGAATCGTAACAACATCTTTGCCTACCTAGGAAACAAGAGGCAGACAAAGACTCTAGTGACTAGTCATATCGATGTGGTCCCACCATACATCAACTACACATACCATTCCAACGGGACCATAACAGGGCGAGGAACGAATGACGCGAAGGGATGCGTTGCTGCGCAAATCAAGGCTGTTGAGATCCTCCTCGCGGAAGGCCTGATAGAAGAAGGCGACGTGGCAATGCTCTTCGTAGTAGCTGAAGAAACGGATGGCGCAGGTATGATAAAAGCGAACGACCTCGGTTTGGCCTGGGAATCTGTCATTTTCGGCGAGCCGACGGAACTCAAACTCTCGCTCGGGCACAAGGGTGTGCTCCGGTTCATCATTGAGGCCTTCGGGAAAGCCGTGCACTCCGGCTATCCGCAACTCGGCACTAACGCTAACGAGCAGCTTGTTGGAGCATTGTATATCCTATCGAAAATGCAGCTCCCCGGATCTGACTTACTAGGCGATTCCACGTTGAACTACGGCGTTATGGGCGGTGGTACGGCCCCTAATATCATTTCTTCATATGCGAATGCGAGCGTCGCGATTCGATTGGCCGCCGATCCCTTGCTGGTCCGGGCTTTGGTTAATGAGACGGTTACGGGCTTGCCTATTACCTTGACTTGGTTTGAGAGGTTTTATGGGCCGCAGTATTTGGATTGTGATGTTGAGGGTACTGTATTTATCATAAATTATCGGCCTTGTCGTTTTGACTTGCTTTGCTTTGCTTGTTGGTGAAGTGGCTGCTGATGGTGATGGTTATTGCAGGGTTTGAAGTCGAAGCTCAGGCTTATGGAACAGATATTCCGAATCTAAAGGGCAGTCATAAGAGATACCTTTATGGTCCTGGATCGTGAGTATCATTTGTACATTGCGTGCTCTGAGGGAGGGGCTGACAGTTGGCAGAATCTTCACAGCGCACAGTAACGCAGAATTCGTGACCGTCACAGACCTTGTCGAGTCGGTGGAGGGGTACAAGGCCTTGATTGTGCACACTCTTTCATAATCTATTAAAAATTAGTCTAATAGACATAATATTATTATTATGTAATAAGATAGAGCCGGTTTGTAATAAGGTTTCTGTAAATAAAGAAAAAAGAGGGTCGGGAAGTTCTTGTAATGTTTCTGTTGGGAGGTTATTTTTCCCCTAAAATTTGTTACCTGATTATGATACAAGTGTACCGGTATGGTTGTATCACGAGCTGGCAAGTTTCATAATAAAATAGGTATGGAGTTGAGCCTCAGGTGCCCCACCTTTCACCCCCCACCCCATTTCCTTCTAACCTCCATCCCACTATTTCCACCACAAACCACCCTCGCTGCCCCTCTTTCCACCAACCATTCTTTTCCTCTCTTTCTAATACAATTCGCAAGGTCTACAATTTAATTACTCCGGCTTTATACAAAACCATGGCGCCGCCAAAGAAATGGAGTAATTATTTGCCCGCCATTGTAGAGCTTCTTTAGTTGAGAATACTATCCTTGCACTATTCGAT